AGGAAGAGGAGGAGGAGGAGGAGGAGGAGGAGGAGGAGGAGGTACAATGAGACAAGGCATGAACAGCGGCCTGGGGGATGACTCGACTGGGATGAGATCGAGGTCTCCAGACCCTCGTGATGGGCGGCCTGAAAGCAACATGGCGTGGCGGCGGTAGTACCGGTTCTCCGCGGAGCAATTTACATGCCACGAGCACGGTCCCATTGTGTATCTGCTCGGGTGTTGCCGTAGATGGTTGATAGCAGGATATATGTGGCTTGTGCGTGCTTGTTTATACGTTATTTGGAGTTGATCCGCTTGGATCTGTTTATGTACCAAAAGGGTACCATGGTACAGGCAGTACTCGCGTAAGTTCCGTTCTTGATAGTGGTGTGGCAGTTTGTGAACTCCGCCCAACCGCGTGGGTCATGTTTGGTGCGGTTGAATGAAAAGCCGGATGGTTGATGGAAATCGGAAGGAATGCGGTCGTTGCGGAAGGCGTCTCTATCTTTCAGCGCTGGTGGTGGTATTGTAGCTGAGAGAGGAGAAGGGGATACAACGAAGTCTCCTTGCTTTGCTGCCCACATGGACGAGACCGAGACAATTCCGCCATCAGTGTTCTCTCTGCGTGCTCGGAGGAAACCGACCATAACGACAGGAGTTCTGAATTTGTGTCTCGACTACTTTGAGAGCATGCAACAAACAAAAGCCAACTTTTAGTTGGTCACAGGTGCTGTGAATGCAGGCAATATATAGCTGCTGCTAGTGGTGGTGCTGAACATGGCGGCGTTGGATTAATCTCTTCGAAAGCTGTTCGAAAACGTCTCAGTAGATGACGCGTACTCTTCGTCACGTGTATATCTAGGAGAATCGAATTTTGAAATTGGTCAAGGGAGTGTGGTATCTTACGCGACCTTCACAAGAACATGTCCACAAAATACAATGACATTAACGTGGTTTCCTTGAACATCCGACAAACCAACGAGCACGTCGCCCGATAGTTTGCCCTTCCGATACAAAAGGATCCGCGGTCCGATGAACACCTAACCGGGCGGGGTAGATCTCGGTTACCCGTACCCCCCCCACGTGTACAATAGGCATTTCGAAAAAAATCGACGTATGGGCATCCCATACGGTGCCCCCTCACGAGAGTTCGGGCCCCACATCGAAGCTCCGAGCAGAACAAGGAAAGCAGAGACCAAACACAGAGAGCGGGCAACAGGCGACGCCGGGCTGAACGTGGGAAACACATCACGGGTTGCGCTGTCTAGCAAAAGAAGCAATTTGCATTTGTCTCTAGGGACAGGAGCAGCACCACCAGCACACCACAATCGATCCGCCGCTGGTGAGGGGGTAGCGTGCTTCTTCGTAGAAAGTCTGGTTTTGGGTTGCGTCGTCTGTGTGCGTTGTTGCTCGCTCGCCAGCACGGAGGGTGGAGATGCATTCTCGCTGAACAAGCTGGAGAGTTGTTTCGTGCTTGAGCTGCGCCAGACGTACTTAGAAATTGTTTCGTGCTTGAGCTCGATGGTTGGCTCATTGCACTGGAGGAAAAGAAGCAAGTGCTGCGTTCGGTGCGCGCCGCTTCTCGCCTTTTGTGCCTGTGTGCGGTCGAACTGGCGAGATTTGGCATGCATGGCTTACAGAGAACAATGAGGAAGATCATTAGCCACAAGCAGGCCTTAATCCCTTACCGTCAACCTCATGGGGCGTTGCAGTAGCCGAACCATCACGAGCCACTTGCCGAGGGTTCCTTTCGCTGTATAGCGGCGCTGAGAGAGAGACGCCCGGCTCATATTTCGGCCTAATTACGTGCGCTCAAAAGAGAAAGGTTCTGTGTCCGAATTACGACAACTGACAAACGGTCGGCAGCAGCACACACCCTCTCTTCAACACCGACACCGAAAAATCGTGCAGGCAGCAGTGTAGTAGGTCGGCTCGTGATTAGATAATCGGTGTGTTCCACACGAACTGCAAGCCTTGCCCTCTTGCACGTTTCTACCCATTGCGGACAGGACGAGAAATGGTGAATTTGAGATCTCACCCGAAGGGAAAACTCCGCTCGCTCTGCTCGCTCCTCGTACATGCAGTACGTAAAATCAATCTCGCGTGCAAGTGCGTGTCTTCGATTTTATACCAGTTTCAAACGAGAAGACTTGAATTCTCAACTAATTATTTTTTCCCTCCTCCTGTCTTGTGTGTTTGAAGCAACGTTCCTTTCTCTGTCATTCCCGTGTGTGCTCTCTCTTCGCTCCCGCCACCACCTACTGCAGGTTGATACATCAGCATAGAGCAGGCGCGGCAGCAGCAGTAGTAGCAAGCAGCGACAGGATGAGTCACTTCGTGCGCGCATCCAAATACCGTCATGTGTACGTCGAATCTCCCAAGGTTAGTGAACAGATCGGGGCGTCAACATGTCAACATGAGCGGCGAGTAGTGTAGAGGAATGGGGCAGCACCAGCAGAGCGGTGTAACTATCTGTCTGTACAATTCTGGGCGGGGTGTGTGCTCAAGTCGCACGCACGCTTGTTGGCGGTAGATACAGAATAGTCGTGCCTATTGCCTATTTGGGTGTGATTGAAAGAAGAGCGTCGTTGAGCTCGTTCGCGTATTCACAACCCAACAGCGATAATAGCCGTAAATTTAAGATACACCTCATGCGCAGTCATACTTGATGGACGCGTGAGCTCCGGCTACACGCAACAGCAGTTACTTGTCTGCTTTGAGACAGCGAGCCTTCCGAATGTTTTTGTGGATTTTTTTCATGTTCCTACTACGTTCAGACGCACACGCGCGCGAAGAGTTGTACAGCGACTGAAAGTAGAACAGCGTGTTGGTTGAAAGGAGCAACGTGCGTGGACGTGTGTTGCCCGTCTTTGTCATGCAGATTACTGCCGTCGTCTTGTAGTTCCTCCCTGCTCTTTGGTGTTGCCTCTCTCTCTCCCCTCTTCAGGAAAAGAACTCCAGTCTGGGGATGGTATTGTAACAGAGGAACCCTCCTTCTTCCGTATATTCAAAATGAGCTACAATATTCGTACCACGTTTTTGCCAAGAGCCGCACGGACACAAACACGCACGACAACGTCATTTTCTCAGTGCAGAAAACTGCTTGTGCTTGAGTGCCGTGTGCTCTGCATGAGAGAAAAGAGAAAAAAATACGTACAAGAGTGTATGAAAATGAGGTTTTGCACCGCAAGGTACAGTCGCGCTCGGCAACTTTCCGACAGGGCTACATAGATTGTCACGTTAACACCCAGTTCATCGAGAACAGCACTAGTGCTGCTGCGCGAAGCGTCGTTTGCTGCTGTCTGCAGACCGCCGACCGCACCACCTATCTGAAAATCTCGCGGGTGGTATGAATGATGACCAGTGATTGTGGGACGGATGACACGTTTTACATGGCGTAGCTTGTCCACTGCTGTAGCTGCCGTCCGCCGTTCTCCACGGAAAGAACTCCGATCCGGAGTTGGTGACATGAAATAGCTTCTTATCGGGTATCGTTTCCACCGTTTACCCCCCGGAGCGTGAGCTCTCTCATCACGTGTTACATAGCTCCGAGATAACTCCGAGAGATAAGATCGCCAGAGGCCGCCGACTGCCGAAAACGTCGAGGGTGTCGTGATCTTGTCGCTTGGTGTGGCTGGTGTCACGGCCTCAACCTCGAGTCCTTGGCAGCACGACGCCGCCCGTCCCTGAGAACCAAACATTTTGTCGGCGAGAGGTACACCCGCTCATTGGCACTGAGGGCTCGATGGATGGCGAGTGAGGGCACGTGCACAAGTATTGAATGACCAGTGTTGCGATAATGCGGCGACTTGACTAACCTTTTTGGACGATAATGGGTGGATGCTTTTTGCGGTGGTGACGGTGACGGTCAGGCGGAGGCGTGTTGGACGGGCATTCCGGTAGCGACGACCCAGGGGGAACAGAGCTACATCAAGGGAAACACCAAGTATATGGCCGTGGCGGTGCAGGTGATATATCTCACGATTACTGCGTTTCTTCGACTTTCGGTTTGTGAGTGTAATTGATCATCCCGGCAAGCGGATCTTGTGCCTCTCGTCGAGTCAGCGTTGTAGAGTTCAGCGATGAAGCACTTTTTTTTTCAAGACACAGCAACAACACCAACAAAACGATGAGGTGCAAGTGTTGTTCGGTTTTATGGTTTCAATGTGTTTTGTTTCGATTTGTGACAGGGTGTTGGCCATAGGTTTGATCAGGCATGCGGCCAAGATACGGAACGTAATGATACGTTCAATTCAGGAAGGGGGTAGAATATATATATATATATATAATAATCCAACGTCAGTCCAAAGATGAGATGCGTTGAACCAGACAAGAATGAGAAGCAGCAGACTGCGGGAAGAAGAGTCCCCCTTTTCCGTGTAGGTTGTCGCGACACCAACAGTTCACGCACGCTTTCAAACCCAAACCCCACGGGCACCGCCGTCTCGCTCCCTTGTGGTTCGTGGTCTTCGCTGACAAACGCGTCACGTGACGAGAACGTCACGCCCGGGGTGGTCAGTGTTTCCTGCCTTTAGGGGACACCAAAAACACATGCACACGTGCGCGACGTCGAAACGAACGACCATGCTGCTGCCTGTCTGCCTACCGCTTACGCAACTCCGTTTTTGTGACGGGGGCGACGACAGGGCGGAGGAGGGCCGTTCGCGGTGCTGCCGTACAACAAACCCGGCAGGTTCGTGCGCGGAGGGCCCCTTGTGTCCGGCCACACGGCGTCCGTGCTGGACTTCGATTTCAATCCTTTCCACGAGCAGGTGCGTGGGTGCAGGCATGCGAGAGTTCTCTCGACGTGCCCTAAGGCACTCTCTTCCTGTCTTTGTCGCTGTATCTGCCATCTTGAAAATGTAGGTTACCTAGTTGGCGTTGGCTTGGATTGGCAGCGACATAAGGCGTGTGTTTTGGGTGACTGGCTGTTTTTTCTACTACGGGGCGGCTCGATCAACTTGTGACTCTAGTGAGTGCCTTCCTTGGTTGTGCGTGTCGGCTTAGCCGCAGCAAGTCTGCTTAACCCGTCCAGTGCAGGCTACTTGGTGTGGAAAGCGCAAACCTCCGGATTTCGTGTATGGAGGTGGAGGGATCGGTGGAGCTTGGGGTTGGGAGTGCTGAGGGCCTGGGTATACTTTCATTATTGCTCACTTGGCCTGGTCGCCTGGTCCATTGGTGTGATATATTGTCGCCCGACCAGCTCCACCGTGCTTCCTACTTCCCTCTGTGTTGGCTTCTTTCCATCTTTCTCGTCCCTTTAAGTGTATTCGGAGGAGAGTCTTGGTTGTGTTTCTTAATGTCGCCGCTCGTGTGGGACTTGGTTTCCCCTTCGTTTTTCTCTGCCTGGCTGTCTGTCTGTCTTGTCTGTCTTGTCTGTCTGTCTGTCTGTCTCTGTCTCTCTCTCTCTCTCTCTCTCTCTCTCTCTCTCCCGCCGCCCCCGCTCTCTCGCCGTGTCTTATCGGGCACACGGACGGGGCGCTTGATTGATTCCCGCCTATCCGGCCAACCGGCGACCGGATCTGGATATGCGAAACGGATGTGTGGATGGGGGTTGCGTACGCGTGTTGAACGATGATGCGAAACGGAACATTCGAAACGTCGCGGTGGCGTCCTTCGTCCCTGCAGCTGGTTGCCAGTTGCTCGGAGGACTGCACCGTGAAGGTGTGGGGCATCCCCGAGGACGGCTTCAAGGAGACGGAGACGGAGGCTCTCATCGACCTGCAGGGCCACGGCCGCAAGGTTACCCTCCTGCGGTTCCACCCCACTGCCAACAACGTGCTGGCAAGGTATGATGCTGCTGCTGCGGAGAAGGGATTGGTTGTAGCGCTCTTGGAGGCATGGCCGGTGTGTAGGTGGATCTCTCGTAACAGCCGGGCATATTGGGGAACATACATGATTTTAAATGAACACCACCAAGCTTTAGAGTCGTGGGGGGAAAACGTATCACCCCACCGGCCTGACGTGACCTAATCGTAGCCGGCTTCCGTTGCATCGGGGCTTCCCGTATCTGTGCAGGAGGGGGGGGGGACAAAGAGAGTTGTCTCCGAGACTTGGAGGACAAAATCAAGCGATCGGGAAGTAGTAGAGAACATCTGGTTGTGATTTGTGCTGTTGTGGTGTATGCAAAGTTTGCGTTGTGCCCTACCGCCATACGCGTGCGGTCCAAGCGACAGATACGATACAGGATGCAGTGCATCCTCGGAGTGTGCCAAGCGTTCGTTGCGTGTGCGGTGGTGTGATTTAGAGCCACGGCGTGGAAACGATTGTGTGTGTTCTGCCGACGGCTGAACCTGTCTTATGATATCTTTGAAATGGTTTGTGCACGTGATCGGTGGGCGCAGCGATACTAGCGGTTCGGGAGTCTCGACTCCGGTGCTGGGTCGTTGTTGTTCGACCCTTTGCCACGTGATGAAATGGTGGAGAAAAAGAAGCGGACCATGTTTTGTTGGTTGCCTTGCCCGTTCATCTTCATGGTCGTCATTGCTGTCGTCGACTGGACACACGCCCTCGTGTGGACTGACGACGGGAGTATATACTAGATGGGAGTTGGAGCACACGAAGGTCGGGACGAACAAGAGTTGGAGGGGAAGGTGATGCGGTGTGACATCCGCTTTATCACGAGACTATCGGACTAGAGGCGTTGCGTGCTGTTCGAAGGGCCTTTTGCGTGCTGTTGCCAGTCACTCGTTGCAGGAATTCATTTCGCCGGTAGACTCGACCTGTAGGCTCCAAGACGAGGACGCATGGGTACGTGTTGGCTGTTTTGCGAACCCCACACGGATCCCCCCCCCCCCCC